CATCCGTCGGATATCGGTCGGATATCGGATATATCCGTATCCGTTTCCAATTTTTAAAATCAACTTAAAAAATACTTTATTTTTAAAATTAGATTAAAGTCAAGCTATTATTAAATCAACTATAATTTGTTATGAGATGATTATTTTCTTTGTTTTCATGATTTCTGATATTCTACGATAACTTTATATGATAAAAAGATATACACAACACATATATACACATATTTTTATATGTCTGTATATATTTTTATGTGTACACATTTATTTTGTATTTAGAAATGTCTTATATTTTTAAATATCAATAGAGAAAAAAAATATAAAAATAAAAAATTAGAAAAAACTATATATAACGGATCGGATATTCGGATAAACGGTTATTTAAACGGATGCATATGCGGATCGGATTTTAAACGGATCGGATATACAATTACCAAATCCGTATCCGTTTAGTAATCGGATATCCTTAATCGGATACGGATAATATCCGTTTAAAATGGATGCGGATATTTCCTCTTTAAACGGATACGGATGCGGACGGTAATCGGATTTTCGGCTATCCGTTTACAGCCCTAGATGTACTATCTTGGACTCATTTTTTTCATTTGACTTTCACAGTCTCTAATGTAATACTTTAATCATTAATATCTCTATTTGTATATATTTATAAATAATAAAATTATGATATATAAAAATTATAATTTTCACAATTCAGTATATTTTTTTCTTCCATAAATCATGATCACAATTTAAAAAAATGACCGTAAAAATTAAAATGAGAAAGACATTGGAGGAAATAATAGGATAAGCCCCATCTCTGAGGGTCCCCTCAGACTCGGCCGGACTGTTACTGAGAGGCTCAGGTAAATTAGACTTTAATCGCAGATTGATGACAAAGAGTGGAGCCTACACATAATACTTGTAGAAGCTTTTTGATTAGCATAGTTGCCTCCCAGCACAGTTGCCAGGAATCGAGCCTAAGTCTTACTTTCTTGACATCTTTTGCCTTGCTAACAGCGCAATACCCACAAGCAACAATGGAGGGAAGAAATAATGCAACGTGCTGTTATGGGCTAAAATAGACATTTCATAATCTTAAAATACCCGCGTTTTTTCCTCCCAAATTAGTCCCCTGTGAGTCTGTGACTAGTGGTGGAGGTTTCGTCACCTCTCGCGGCCTAGGGTTCCGGCCAACGTCACAGTAGCTGTAGCTGCTGCCCTGCCGCGCAGATTTCATCCTCCGGAGAGGATGGGGAAAGGCAAACGGAGCGCCGCCATTGTTATTTCTTCATCCGACGATGAAGAAATGGGCGATTTCTTCATCGGCAAGAGTCTCGGCAACTCGAAGCAGAAATCAAAGTCGGGTAGGTCAGCTTCCGTTCGAAGAACGAACCCTAAGAGAGCTAAGAAAGCCCCTCATTCTGGTTCGAGTTCGCTCCCGCCTCACTCCATAAAGTATAGCGACTTCGATGAGGTGAGCTTTGGCGTTTGGCCGCTGCATTTTGTTTTCATCTCTTCCTGGACGTTTTGAATGGTGATGCCGCACCAATACATTTCTCAGGAATGAGTATAATGAGCGCAGAGTTTGAATGAGGAACTTAAGCTTTCGTTATAAATTTCTGCAAAAACTGTATGATTGTCGTGCTCGTTTTGGTTACATCATTATTTAAGATTTGAGTCTCTAATAATCTAACTTAATGCATTTCATAGTTGTGTATGGCATACTGTAATTGCTCCATTATATTTGTCATTTGGCATGCTATGCTGTTATTGATTTCGTAAATATTATTTACTTTGCATTAATAGTACCAGGATTCGGTAGTTGAAAGTCATATAGGGCCAACAAGTTCCATGGAATACATTCTTGTGATCATTGTTTTTTTCGTAGACCTGTTTATAAATTGCTACTCTGTATATTGTTGTGAATGCAGATCAAAAGGTTTTGTGATGAGTTTAAAGAAGGGCTCTCTGAGTTCAAGGTATCTACTGGTATGCTAATTTTTTTATTAGCATCATTAATACAGATTCCTTGTCGATTGCATTTCATTATTTTATGTAACTCAAGCTTTTCTGAAAAAAAAAGCAGAATAAGAACATGAATGAGGCTTATCTTTCTACACTTTCAGTATACTTTCACCTTATGTAATTATACTCTCTCTAGCTTCCTTTTTGCTTCGTAATGCTACATCTAATTCTGATATAGGTACAACATGTTTTTTACACTGTAAGTGTGCTGCATGAGAATATTTGATTCTCTTGCATCTTTGGGGGTTTTTATAATACTCGATCCACTGACAGAGTAAATGATCTTACTAATGGAGTAGGTCATAATAGCAGTAGTGATTTGTGGGTTGATAAATACAAGCCTTGTTCTCTGGAGGAGCTAGCTGTTCAGAAGAAGAAGGTAGGCTTTTGACTTTTCAGATTTTTTCTACATGCTGCTTTTTAATCATTTTCAAGGATGGACTTCACAAATCTTTTAATAATTCTATAGCAGCTAAAACTCTGCTTATTTTGCAGGTCGAAGAGGTCAAAATATGGTTTGAGGAGAGGCTGATAAATAGAATGGTACTGAGTCATTATATAAGATTAATTACATCACTTGCTTCCTTTTAGTTCGCTCTTCCTTTCGGATTCTTTGTAATTAAGTTAACATCACACTAGATAAATAGTCCCCAATTCAATGACACTCAGCACATTTCTGCATTTTTATGTTATGATTATTTATTTCTCTCTAATTGGGAAACACCGTGTGATGTACTATATGAATGTTGGTGTTCTCTGGACTTTTATCAATCATTGTGAAGGTCCATAATAGTTTCTACCTGTCTTCTTATGTACATTTTGACTGTTGTACGGTGTGCCTTATGAAAACTTGACATTGCTGCTCTAAACTGGGTGCAGGATAGATCTTATAACCACGTTCTTCTGATTGCTGGCCCTGCTGGAACTGGAAAATCTGTAAGTTGCATTTCTATTATGCATCAATTCCGCTGTAAAAAAGTTCTCTTGATATTTCCACTCACACAAAAATAACTATGTGTTCATCTCAAAGGCAAGTGTTCATGTTATTGCATCGCATCTTGGAGCCACTATTTGTGAATGGAATACTCCTACTCCAACTATTTGGAAAGAACACTTACATCAATCCAACTCAGGTACCTCATGGAGACACACTAAATCCTCTAATCAATACACACCATTTGCATTGTACACACTGCTAGTTTATGAATGCATACAAAAAGATACATCTTTACAGTCTAGAGGGGACACGTAATTCCGATTTTCTTCTGGTTTTCGTGTAGAATCTGTAGATAACATCTGGGAACTACTCTCATTGATTTATACCGAATCCTGTTTCACCTTGTGTGTTGTGACACTTTGGACACTCATCTCTTGTATTTATTTTTGGAATTTCACTGCTCTTCTCTAGGCCTACAGTACATGTCCAAGTTGGAGGAATTTGAAAGTTTTGCTGAAAGGACAAGAAAGTATGGGTTAATCTCCTCCACTGTAACTGGACAATCATTGGCCCCAGTTATACTCTTAATTGATGATCTCCCAGTTGTAAATGGGAATGCTACATATGAAAGACTCAAGAGGTGCTTGACGCTTCTTGTACAATCAGTTCGTATTCCGACAGCCTTGTTGTTCACGGATCATGGTAAGGCTGACTCTACTGGATTCAACATGCGCTACCCAGAGGAACTCCTCCAGTCTCTTGAATATGCTGGTGCTTGTAAGGTTGCATTCCTTGAAGTTTTTAATATGCAATTTTGCCACTCATAATGTATTAATTCTAATTTCACAATAGAAACTTTCAGGTTACCTTCAATCCAATCACAACCAATTCTATGAAGAAAGCTCTTGAAAAAATCTGCCGAATGGAACAGGTTAAAGTTAGCGCGGATTCAGTTGAAGCAATAGCAAAAGCAAGCGGAGGTGATATCAGGAATGCGATTACCTCTTTACAGTATTTCTGCCTGAACCCACATTCACTGCTTTCTCAACCTTCCTCCAGCTGTTACTCCATTCCTTCAAAAGAAAGTCGAGATGATGCCAATGCTTCAAATAACCGAATTCCTTTGACATTTGGCAGAGATGAAACCCTTTCATTGTTTCATGCATTAGGGAAATTTCTGCACAACAAAAGAGAGAGTGAAGGTACTACTTCAGGTATGATCATTGATAACATTTGTCTGTAGTTCATCATTTTTTGACTGAAGTAGTGACTTGTAAATGCATGTTGTTAGCGATTTAGTTCCTTTAGAGTTTTTTCCTTTTCATTTAAACCAAAGAGTGAAGCTGAAACCATGCCCATTCCATAGTTAGAATTGTCGGAGTACACAAACTGCATATTTGCTCTTCTGGCCATTTGAAGCATTTATCTACTGTAGGTATTGCCCAACAAAGTTCGGATTATACTTGGTTCGTTGTTGTTGTGGTGCTGTATCTACTTTAGGTATTGCTGCAGATGCTTGTGGTTGTATATCCTGCCAGTTCATCCTCACTAATATATTGCTTCTTGCAATATCACATTCCTAAAACTTTCTGTAGCATTTCAGTTTTTCCGATTTAGAAGTATAATTTAAGTGTCAGATGGCTAAATAGTTTCTGAAAACACTTGAATATGTAAGATACCACAAAATTACATTCCTGCAGTTATATTCCTTGAACTGGCATTTCAATATGCCCTGATAATCTCAGTCTATTTGGTTACATGTTTTAGATGGAGGTTTATTTGCTTTAAATGAGAAATTCACGCGCTTGCCGCTAAAGATGGAGGCTCCAGAAGTTGTTCTTTCACAAGCACATGGCCAAGCAAGACATATCACTGATTTTCTGCACGAGAATGGTGAATAATGATTTTTCTTTAAATACCAAGGATTATTATCTGAGTGAAATACAGATTACAAAGCAAGGATATATAGATCTCTATTTCACATTTAATTATATAGCAGTATACTTTATGGATTTACAAACAATGCAAAATTTCACTATGCACTTGTATCACTTTCTTGTAGAATTTATTGGAACTCTAAGATATGATCTTTTCACGCAGTCTTAGATTTTTTAAGCGAAGTAGCCACAGATGATGCATGGGTTGTGTCGTCTTATTTAAGTGATGCTGATTTCCTTCTTGCACCACCCAATACTATGCTAGCCTCAAGTTTGCGGTCCGAGAATCTTCAACACTCAGTTGCTGCTTCAGTTGCTGCAAGGGGTGTGTTATTTGGTAACAATCATCCATCACCTTCCAGGTATTCCTCTCTCTATTTCTTTTCAGTCTGAACATCATTTAGTAGCAATTTACAGCCTGATAAGAATACAGGTGGCATGCCATCCGCCGACCAAAATTGTGGCAGGTCGAGCAATCTTTGTGGCAAAACAAGGTTAGTCTACAGATGACAGATTTATTATGTTCATTATCATGTTTTGATAATTACTCCGTTGGACCCATAGAAAAAGATTCATGCTGCAAAAGGTTTTTCCATACATTACGTTTAAACAAAAAACAAGGTTTTTTAATAAGCATAGGTAGAATTTCAGGATTCTTAAGAGTTGTACCTTGACAAAGCAGGACTTTTTTGTAGTTTTCTACTTCTCAAGCCATTTTTTAAAATCAGATGGATGTTCTCATCTGCAGTGTCAGATGTGGAGGGAGAGGGGTTATTATTACAGTGACATTGACAAGCATGTCAAGCAGTGCATGCCTATGCACTCTGTGATTGCAACTGAGCTTAAACCTGTCCTAAAATGGCTTGGGCACAGATTGTGTGGTGATTTTGGAACCAATGATACACACAAAAAACCCGTCAATGGCATGTCTTTGGGTGATGAAAGTGAGGACATATCCGATGACGACGACGACATTGAAGACTGGTAATGCTTGATGACATTTCTTCCCAGGTTTGAGTTTGTCCAAATCTGAGTTTTTGTCACATGTAAATTGTGTAAATAGTTAAAATATTCTTCCCATTATTGGGGTTCCATTTTTTTTCTTCTTGATAGGATGTTGATGTCCATCTTTTTCTCTCATTTACGTGCTGAATGCTATTGACCTTCATAAAAAGAACAGTTATTCTGTTCCCGTATTAAACATTTAAAAATGAAAATAGTAACATTTATATGTTAAAGTGAGAGAAAAAGAATAACAGAAGTCAAATGGTATGTTACAGTCTTTTTTTACCCCTATTTCCCACGTTATGTTAGAACTTAGAATAAGATGGTTGAATTTTGCATTGCCGATCAGTACACTTGATAAATGGCAATGGCAATGTTATATTGACACCCTTTTTTGGTGTCATATTATACACTTGCCAAATTGAGGCACCCACAATGCTCCATTAAAAAAATTTATTGTTTCTACTCCATAACCCCCACCCCCGTTAACCCTATTTTTGCTTGACTTGAACCCTCTCCCTACTCTCGTCAATATACACCCCCAAAATTAGTTGAGTAAGTCAGCTAAATTTGCAGGTGGAGTGGGTTTGCGTCGGGCCAAGGTTTGGGGTTCACTGGGATAGAGGGTGTAGGTATCATCAAATCATTAATTGTTCAAACGAAGCCAAATAAATTTTCTAATTTGGGCAAATGTCATAATATGACATTCCTGGTGAGTGTCATTATAACATCTTTGAATGGCAATGACAAGGCTATATTGACACCCATCTTGTGTGGCATACTATGACACTCGTCAAATTGAGATTCTTGTGTAGGGGCAAATGGTGTTTACCAATCCATAAGTCAAAGCTAGAGGTTGGGTTTTTTTATGGTGGGGTGTGCATTGCAGTGAGCCTGCTAGTTTACCCTTTAAAATTTTGTTGGCAGACGTTGTGTAGCTGACAAGATAAATGGTGCCCAAAGGATAATATCAGAGTTTGATTCTTGTGTAGGCTTCACCTTTTACCACTAATCTGCGATTAAAGTTTAATTTACTTTTTCTGAGGGATCCTCGATAATGAAATTCATCTTTTTTTTGAATTTATACAAATGACTGTTATCTTCAAACAAATGTACTCCCTCCATCCATGTAGAAGTTTTCAAATGCCTTTTTTGTTTGTCTAGAAAATATTTTTCAATTTTTTTCATTTAAAAAAACCTAACTACAAATTACCAAGAAGGTAACAGCCGTGCAGCTCCAAGGGAAGAGAAAGAGGCTTGTGAAAGAAAAGATTTAAGGCTTGTTCTCTTTACCTGATCTGATTAATTCTCATCTAATTGAAATAAGTTCTGATCTGAATGTAGTTATATTTAAAACTATTTCTGATCTGATTTGGTCTGATCTGATTCCAATAAAAAAAATAATTAAAAAAAATAAATTGAGGAAAACATGACTTTAAGAGGAGTTTAATTTTTATATTGGATAACCAAAGCCTAGAGATCCCCTCTTTTTATAATAGATTAATTAAACACCAATTCTAACGAAACTATATTTTCTATCATGTTAGTTCAATAAAAGCATCGAGGTAAAGAACAAAAAAATCCTTGAAAGAACTAATTATTTGCTCACCTAATAAAACTCTATTACAATAATAAAAACAACTTGATTGAGCTAAACATAATCATCAAAACACTTTGGCCGTCGTGTGTTCCTCGGTCGCGTAGTCCCTTCCACCGCGGGAGTATTGCACATCACCACCTCATTTGATATATTTCACCCAATTTCATAAAAAGTACTCCGTATTTTAATAAATTTTTACTCCTTCCGCCTCAAAAAGTCTTTCCTGTTTACTATTACAGCCTCTCGATAACTCTTATTTGTTTATTGATCATTTGACAAAATAAAATATTCTTATTGTTTCTTATTTTGTAGAGTTTTTTATGTTGTTTTTAATACGGAGTATAATTTTTGTTGGGCGGTGCTCCTTGGACCACACGGCAAGAAGGAGAGCAAATCCCATTCTAAGTGGGATTGCTCTTGATTTGTTTCCTTGTTCATATTTAGTGATTTGTTTCCTTGTAGGAATAGAATTCCTTTTGTGTTTTGGTCTTTATCCTCTCCTATAAATAAAGGAGAAACTCCTTGTACTTAGCAGAACAATTCAATATACAGAATATTTTTTCCCTCTTATCAAATTCTACATGGTATCAGAGCAAGATTCCTAGGGAAAAACCCTAATCTAGACATACGACGGTCCATCACCGTCCTCCGCCGGTTCAAGCCTGTCTTCCGCCGGATCACCGACATCGACCGCCGGACTATCCTCCTCGACCGTCGACATGGCAGAAGTAGAAGAAAATCTCGTCGGCAAGCTTTTCAATGAGGAAGAAAAAATCCCTACGAAGGGAAGTTCTTACGAACTCAAGAACGCAGACACACCTGGATTAATTATCACCCAAGTCAAACTAAACGGTGATAATTATGAAGAATGGGCTCGTGCAATGAGAATTGCATTCCGTGCAAAACGGAAAATTGGATTCATCGACGGATCCATCCCTTGTCCAGAAGAAGGAGATGAAAACTATGAAGAATGGTGGATTGTGAATGCCATGTTGGTCTCATGGATTTACAACACAATTGATGGCAGCC